GCTATATTCCCTTGGCTGGCCTACTGTGCGATTGAATTTGGTTATATTCGCCCGCGCGATAGGAAACTCCGTCGACAGGCAGCTGCTCGACGCCACCGTGAGCTCAAGAAGTTGGTCCCTAAGAAGCATATGTATGGAATAGAGTGCTCTGGAAAATCTCCGAGTTGCGTGTAGAGAGAAAGAAACTGTCAAATGCCTGACTAAATGTAGGTAGGGGCAAACAAGGTTACTTGACCTTTCAACACCCCCCACGACCACATACGTAGTCGCGCGCCATCCATCAACACGTGCGGTCATCTCGTTCTCGCCGAAGTCTACTTTATACGTAAACGGAGAACAAGCGGAAGACCTTCCCACTTCATATTAGGGATGAAAAGTGTGACGGCTTTCAGGTATTGTAATAACGCATCATTGACGATTTTTTCGTCCTTTGTGAATGCCCTGTGCGGCACGTCGCTATCGGCAGTGGCAGTGACAAGAGTAATACCAGCAGACTGACTCCATGTACTCATTGTACTTATACCCCGCATATGCCATTGCCTGTAACAACACTATGTGGAAAAGAATTAGATGTCAAGGTAGCATAGACGTCACCGACTACGGAGACGATGTGCCCGGGGGTTGTGCTGATGGTGGAGGCGAGGAGGAGATATGGTCGAGAAGCCACCTTGGCGGCGGGTAGCAGACCTCCGTAGAGAAGGCGAGGGGGGAGTGGAACTGTATGTAGGCTCACCGTGGTTACGGGAAGATCTTCATCCCATGACCGAGATCGAGTCGCTGATCGACTGAGGATAGCAGAGATTGATCTGCTGAAGGGAGTCCATAACGAGGGCAAATACACCTAGTTCCTGGTCGCTGAGGTCCTGTTTTCGTTTGAGTTGAGCAAAGAACCTCTGAAATGCAGTAAACTTGCTAAGAGACTTTTTAGGTTCTCCTCTCAGTTCTACCTGGTCCTTGTCGGGGAAGGGGAATTCGCTGGCGGATAGTTTAGACAAGATTCCTCCATGTAAAAGCCAGCTGGAACGATAGTACGATGTCGAGAGTACCTGCCATTACCATTATAGGTTCGGTGAAAGATTGCGCAAACAGGATAGTGGTACTCCCACTGATGACGACTTTGGGCAAGAAAGGAGTGGCTGATCGGTTCTGGTCCTCGCTTTGGCCTGCTCGTCCTGGGGGACATGGAAGGATCGATATACCGGCGATAATTCGGCCGCCGACAGCTTGATAATTGAACCATCTTCCGAGATACATTCCCACATCGAATATTCCGCTTGGCCACTGTCGCCTCGGCAAATGCGGCAGCCTCATCTGGGTCATTCCCATGCGCCCAGGAGGTCAAAAGTTCAAAGTCTGCCCGGGCGATTGGATCTGAAGGCATGCCAGACTCGACACCGATCGTATCACTACACGGTCTTAGGATCACGATCTTTTCCTTTTCCCCTGGATCTTTGGATGACTTCTCCTTTATATCAGTGTATGCCCCACCAACAAAGGCTTTCAATACTGGATGAGCTTGGATCATCCTCCGACACTCCTGCTGGTGTCGTCAGCCCCTTGCTGCCGCATAACGGCGTCCAGCTCAATGGTCTGGTCCAAGGCCGTATAGATGCCTGACTCAGAAGTCACGTCTACAGCGAAATGCCATTTAGTACATGCACCAAACGCGGCGTCCATTGACAGGCACGACAGGCCGCGACGTTGGAGGTTGTACACGCATGCAGGACGTTGTCGGCGAGGCGCAGGCATTGCGGAGCGAGCTGATGCCTGACCTATCTCGCGGACTGCGGAGTCTTCCATCTTTTTCTTCTGGATGGGGTTGTGGTTGACTGCGGCTTCTGTGGGACCGGCCCAGTTACTTTGTATCTTTATCTTTGCTGTGCTCCAGGTAAATAGTTCCCTGGGGAAGATATCCAACACAACATTTAACCGTAAGACCTGGAAGATCATATTTCTGTCTCTGTCTCATGCGGTGGAAAGGGATGTTATTTGCCGAAATGCTGAGGACTGCTTTCAACCAAGAGCGACATGGCGGGTCCACTGACCCTCGATCAGCGGGTACTTCGTGGTAAGGGCGGTCAGAAACACCACGAGACAGGTGTTGACTGATTCTTCATCAATGCGACGCTCTAATTTGCCCTTTGGCGTATCCTTGTTAGAGCCCAGGGCTAACCGTACCCGGTGCTGCTCGTGGGCAGGGACTTCAAAAACCCCGCTACCTCAGGGGTCTGTGTTTGTGTCCGGGTCATACTTAAGAACACCGTTCCCAGCGAGGACCTGCTGTAGGTAGGTATTGAAAGGTGGGAATTTTTCCAGCCATTGCCTGGCCTTTTTGAAGTGGTTGTTCAAGCCGAGGTCAGTTCGCGCTCTGGCGTCCATTTCAAGAACAGCGTACGTGGAATTTGCTGAAGCTTCATCTTCGTCATCTAACGCATTCAGTTGGTCCATGAGAAATACAACGGAGGTGGAATGGGGAGCATTATCTGTCCCTAGCCCTGAAACAACTTTTGGCAAAATTTCTGAGTCATAGGAGCGTCTCGGGTGAAGTTCACCAAAGGCAAGTTTCCTTCGGCCTTATCCCAATCGCGAACCGCATCCCTGAGCCAAGGAATCACTAGGAAGGCCCGCTTGGAGTGGCATCAGGGAATAACTTGCGGCGGACTCCAAGCTTGCCCGCAAGTGGGTTGGTGTGTTTGCAGCACGTTTAGCCACCCTCATAAGAAAGGAGAAAGGGGGCAGCTCGATAACCTCGTAGATTGTTTGCGTATCATGGACCTCCCAAACTCTCCACACTGCACCTCGGGGTTGGACGCGTTCTTCTTCTTCGGGCCAGAGACGGCAACTACCGAAGGAAAACCGTCCTCCTCCCTACCCCACCAGGCGTTGAGTGAGACCATGTGTTTGCTCCGTCCAATCACCCGGTCGTATGCCTTTCGTAATGCCGCCATGGTTATTTCGATCTCCACCCGCTGCACTTGTGGAATCGCTGCTCGGTATTGATCATAAATATATAGAGCGGATCAGAACGGCGGCATCACGATCCATTGCCCCTTGACATTTGCCCTTTGCCGGAGATCCAGATGGCTCTGGCGGTAAGATTCGAGTTTCTTGATCTTGTAGTTCATTTTTGCCATCTCTGCACGCACTTCCGCAAGGAAGCCGAAGCCGCCTTCGTTAGCGGCTATGCTCTGCTCAGCATTGTCTGATGTCGTCAGGCTCTGTCGGGTCTCAGCGGCGGCTTGGTGGCGATCTGGGTCATTGATGACCTCAAGCGTATTGTTTGTTACCTTGAAGCTCTATGGTGGTGTCGGACCATGGTAGGCTTTTGCAAGTAGGCCTCGTGTCGCCATGAGACGTGTGGAAGGCCATGGGTGGTAATAAAGATATATGCCTGTAAGGCTGGGAAGCGTTGGACACGGGCCTATATATCTGGCTCATGTCGATGCTTTGATAAAGGCTAGTTCTGTCCTGCCTGTGACAGTACTTCAGTGAGATGAAGCGACAGTGATGGATGACTGACAGAAGATTGAGCTAGAAGTGAGAGAAGAGTGAAAGCGGTCCCCATGTGGGCAATTCTTTAGGCAATCTGTTGTCCCTCTCGTCTGCCCATTTCCAGACAATTGGATATACAAAGAGCAAATTCATAAAAGGATGCAAACATCCTAGTATTTGTCGTAGTGGACACGAGATGAAAGATATTCGTGAGATCGAAGTGCATAGCGGCAGCATGCTTCCGGGTTGAACTCATATATGAAGCCGATAGAAGTGTCCCGCCTGCCATATGAGAGAGGGATATACGACGAGGAGTAGTAGAAGTAGCAGTTGAAGGAGAAGGATTATGCGGGCGTTTGGAGGTATGAGCACTGGGGCACTCAGAGAAAGTCGTGATGTACGTTCCTTCCTCAAGGGCTGACCATACTGCCGTCATACTCTCAGTA